CAGGTCCAAAAGCGATGAAACTATGCAGGAGATGCCGCGTCGAGATCTGGCCTTCGAGTCGTCAACTTCATCGCCGTCAGAGAAGCGCTAGGTTTTTTTTTTTTTATAATAATATGTATATACATATCTAATTTAAGTATTAAATTTATATATTATGACCCCGATCGAAAATTTTTCTGGCTCCGCCACTGTTCCTGCTCCACTTCCTCGCGATTCAGTAACGTATGATAATAATTGCAATCAATCAAATAACTCCAATCAAATAACTCCACTACGTTGTCTTCAATTTCTGCCTACTTCATCACCATCATTCGGTATATATATATACAACTTCAGAGAGAGACCTCCTTGCATATTTCTGTTTCACACATTACGAACTAGAAATGGCAAATCCGCAGGTTTTTCTCACTTAGTTTTAAGCAGGTCCGAGAAGGCGTACTATGGTAACAAGGCTCTTGCGTTTCTGCGTTTATTTTTACCAGTTGCGTCCTTCAAGATTCTCAAATTCCACTCGCCTGGTAAACAATATTGTTTACATGCATTCTTCATCATGCTTCGTTTGATTTAATGTTTTTCTTATAATGTTATTCTCTAAATCTAGAGTTTTGGATTTGAGATAGAGTCTGGATTGAGAGAGTGAATCCGCAAAAGATTTAATGAGCCACGAACTGACCCAATCAAATGTGAATCCAAATACTCCTGGTATTAAAAATGTCCTTTTTATCTAAAATATGTTTGTTTTGATTATGGTAGACATGGCCTTTACAATCGACTGCCCTACTCATATCCCCCTAGATTGTAAGGTGCAGTTCTTAGATTTATGTTACTATTCATTCAAGTTTGAGAAATATTAGTCATGTCAATTTTAGTGGGGTTTAACGCATTCTTTTTATTTTGATTGCCAGGCCAGAGCTTTGGATTGGAGATTTGATAAGGGAACTAGGAATGTGATTTTTATGTTTATACTTTTTTGAATTTAGTTTAGGTTGGTTTAACGTTTTCTTCTTATTTTGATTCTCAGGCTAGAACAATAGATGTGAGAGCGAGTGGATCCACATGGAGATCAAGATCCAAATCAGAAGCAAGGATCTAGGCGAATAAAGATAAGTACAGATGCGAGAGACTTGACCAACAGCTTGTCGAACAAAAGCCAAACAAATCACATAATTACACACATTTCAAGGTCGAAAAAAAAATAACAAGGAGGAAGCTAGAGTAGAGAAGATATATGGTCCATGGCCGTATAGTAACAAAACTGGCTCATCAGTGGAAATATATATCAGGGAAATAAAACTAAAAGATGCAAAACTAAAGACTGGCTAATAGAGGGAATCTTTGTATGTTCTAAACAGGTTAGACCAAAAGAAAACATCAAGGTTAGAGTTTTTGAAAAGAACATCTAAAAATGCAGAACTAGAGATATTGAAGACTAGAGGAAGGCTAAACTAAGAGCTACTTTTGATGTAAGTAGCAGATGGAGAAACGGAGCGCAAAAGGCTTTGCAGCAGTAGTCAAATTCTCAAGCGATCCTCAAAAGGTTCTTAGAGATGCAGTGGTCGAGATGATCATGGAGAATGGTATCAACCATTAGGAAGAACTCTAAGTGGTTCCCATTTTTTATCTCAGACTCAACACCGATGAATATCATGACAACATGAACATCAATGAGTTTAGCAGGTGCACACTGATTTAATTTTCATTAATTGTGGTGTAAAATAGTTATATATCCCTATATGTAAATATGTGTCTGTGAACTTAATTCTATAAACTTCTATATACAGATGATATCCATGTGAAAGAGAATAGGAAAACTAAACTGTGACTTCTCAATAGAAATTATTTCCACAAAAATACTATCAGCTTATCATTGTAATATGATTTTGGTTATTAAAGACTCCATTGTGGACAAATTACTATCAGATAGTAGCTTAATCCTATCTTTTCTATAAGGCGAAAACATTAAATCTCTTGACAGAATTGTGGACACGTTGAAGATATGAGAAGAAATCAAAGTGCGTGGAATCTTTACAAAGGGAACGTTTTAGGATCATTTTCAGTTTACAATCAAATCATAGATATTGGTTAAAGAAGTGTAAGGCTTCACTAACTTTAATAACATCGGTAGAATTAAGTAAATAACTCCATTGTATGAGTCAAACTTTTGTTATGATTTCACTATGTCTCAAATTTAAAAGTCAAACAATAAAAAATATACGCAAATCTGTAAACACAGTTATACAAGTAATAAAGTGGTAGATGATAAACGGCAAACCCATATGAAAATCAAATATAAGAAAATGTAGAATTCAAACCATAAAGAATTATGTGTTTTTAGAAAATAGATGACTTTTTGTTATAAAAAAAAACCCAGTAGCGTGTATTTATTTAGAAAACTTATATTTCATTATATTTAAACATTGGCTGAATCCAAAAAATTACAGATGAACCATTGACTATTAATTCTGTATTTTCTTTTGTAACAGATAAAACATGCAACATTAATTCAAAAGAAATTCAAATTCTCAAAATTGCCTTTCAGCAAAATTAAGCAAATGCTTCTTAAATCTTTGGATCTACTATCAAATTATTTGTTCGACTTTAGTTATTATATTGCAAGTATAATGAAGATAAACTATTAGTTACGTTGTACATAACTTTTTCGGTTGCACAAGGAAATGGGTTAATCTTATAAATCAGATGCATACAATAAAACAGTTAACCGTTCATTATTTTTATCTAAAAACTTAGTTTAATGTAAAATGTGATAAATTAATTTAGGAATCACCTAAAGATAAAAATATTTAAAATGTACACTGCAAAATATATAGTTAACAACAAATTTATTAAAATATTTCTACCTTCTAAAAATAACTAATAATATGTTTTATAAAAATCAAACAAACCAGACGAAGCGCGGTACAACCACTAGTCTTATATAATTAAATAGACTTCTCTCATTCTCATGATGTACATCATCAGAGAGATGGATGTTTTTTGGACAGCTGGCACTTAAAAAACTCAACCAAGACATAATTCAACGAGTTCCTTGAAACTGTTTTTTATGGGCTGCATGATGTATTCCTTTGGGCCTGAAATTCAATTCATTAAGCTTAACATTTGATGGCCTCATCCTTTGTTCCTCTTCATCATTCAGACATCTCCACAAATCCTCCACTTCTTTTAGTCCTCTTGAATTGTTACAGAGTAAGGATGAGCAGAAGCGACGTATTGAACGCGCTCATAAACCATTTCTCTCCACTCCTCCCACGATCGATCTTTGAATGCAACCCATTTACTTTCTTTCTCAAAATCTTCAACTATAAAAAGAGGCAAACTCTTCCCTGTGAAATACATCATTCTACTCTTCTCAACTGTGAAATACATCGTCACACGGATTTGTCAGAGATCTCTTCACAGGGAAGTCTTCTTATGCTTCCACGTTAATGAAGCTGTAGTCGGACACTCTTTTCACAGAGGTCAATGCACAGATCTTGGTGGCACTGTGACTTCCAGAGGCGATTGATGCAGCGGGGGATCCGGATCCAACTCGATTAAGGCAGGTGGCTGGAGAAGTTGGTGATGTGGAAAGATTTTAAGAGGAAGTCGGTGGGAGTTGTTGTGATCAGAAGCGTGATAGGTGCTGGGTGCTGGTAGAGATACGGTGAGTTCCGGTTGATTAAAAGGGCTTTGTGTAACGACCCGCTTCCGGAGTATTTTTATTTTTGGAATCATATTAGAAGAAAGGTTTGATTGTAAGGGAATAATATTTTTAGAAATGTTGGAACATTGTTTCGGTATGAAAGGAATAAGAAGTTGATTTTTCTCCAAGTATGGAATGTTATTTGTAACCAAAATATTTTGGACTTAAACTATCTATCGATGAACTGATCGAAGATTTATAATAACGGACTGCAAGTCCAACTAAGGAAAGTTTGGACAAGGGGAACGTGGGTTCCAAGTATGTCAAGTTTGATCAGGTTTATGTGATGGGATCGTATGAAAGAAAGGTTGAGTCTGTGGGAGAAATATAAAGAAAGACGTGTAGAGATTCTCTAAAACTTGGGGAAAAACTTTAACCAAGCCATATAAGGAAGGAGCACTAAATGCCTAGCTTGGTGGGCAAGTCTGGAGAGTAGTAAAATAGGAGAGCTTCAGCTCTCATTCTGAGACACAAATAAAAAACGAGCCTAAAGTAAAATCAGAGCATAAACGAGCTTTTGGAGAGAGGAATTCGAGAAGGAGGATCGAATGAGGAGGAGCGAAGGAGTGTATGTTGGAAAAACGTTAGGAAGTTCAGAGTTTTCGAACCCTTGAGATTCAGCTAAGGTGAAGATGTGATTAGTGGCAACTTGATAGCATAGATATTAGCAAATTTGTCCAGATATGCTAGGATGTATGAATGAATGTTGTGCTATATGAAATGTTCCTTCTTGGTTTTTCGAAGTAATTTTCAGAGATAGAAGAACATTCTTTGCGTTCTTAGGATATATAGGGCATGCTAGATTGTTTGTTTTGATAGTAAAATGAATGAAAATGGTTATGCGAAGAACATAGGATTTGATCTAAAAATGAATGGAAATTTAAAAGAAAAAAGTTAAGAAACCAGTTATGATATAAAGTAAATAAGGAAAGTACGAGATTAAGAAAATGATAAGAAATAAGGAAAGTATGTTTTGGCTTCGAGCCATAAAGGATGATATGGAAGTTTTGGCTTCGGACCGTAAAGGTTGTTACGATTGTTTTGGCTTCGCGCCGTATGTTGGATTTGGCCGTGATGGACCTACGGGGTCGAGTGGCTTCGTTCGTATGGGTGACCGACGGGTCAAATATGATGGCTTCGGGCCGTAAGTGACCTTCGGAGTCGAGGATGAGGAGAAGTAATGTTAAATTTTCTATTTAAATGGAAAACTGGTTAAATGTAAGGATGGAATGAATTGTTAGGTTGCTATAATGAAATGGAATGATAGGTTGTTACATGAAATGGAATGCTGGGTTGCTAGATGTTACGGGGTGCATGTGAGCGGTTTTGAGCATTCTCACTGGGTCTTTTTGTATGCTCATGCCTCCTTTGTGATGCAGTGCTTTATTATATATTTTTATTTATTGGTTCGTATTTTTACTTAGCATTTTTCAAGATCTTTCAAAGATTTCCGGGTTGGGGGTATTTTAATTTGTGGATATGACTTTCTATGCTTTCAGTACACTCCAAAGATATGCTCCTCCGAGTTAAGATCTCACCTAACTACCCTGATCCACCACCTTATGCTCCTACAACTACGGCTACCACCGATGATCCTACCACCGCTTTTCCTGTGCAGCATAAGCAGCTCAGTGCCGATCTTGTCTAGGCTGCTAAATAGGTTATTCTCCTTCTTTCATTATGCTGTTTTGAGTCCTTGACGTGGTACTTTGTTTGGGTGAAGTTTGATGCTTTGGTTGCAGCCTTTTTATTATCAGACGGAGGTGAGGAATCTTATAAGTTGAAAATAATTGCTGAACTCCAGATATGATAAATCTCACTCACTGATAATTTGGCTCGATGAATTATTGCATGATCCCTTATCTGCTATTTCTCTTCATGTGGAAATGATGTTATTGGCCAAGAGCTCCAAAAACAATTAGAGGCTGCAAGTAAAAATTCCCTGGCCAACTTTGCTCACATCTAGTGGAGCAGAATTTATCCATGCGATTTACAAACTAAAATGTTCAACCTTTTGTATTTTTTTTTTTTTTTTGTTTCTACTGGACCACACTAGGACTAAGATGTTGTTTAACCATTGCAAGCAGATCTCTTTAGTGGTTAAAGCTGCGAGGGAGGTGATGAATCTGATTTCTACACATTAGAGCAGTAGATGTGGCACAAGTACTGGGTGAAACTTTTCATTTTTTATGATGAAATATTGTATCATCTTTAATTGTGCTGTGGTATGAAGATTTGTGACTATTAATGGGATCCAACTAAAGCTTGATTCAGAGCTTATTACAAATGAGATCATGATGTGAAAAAAAGATTTGGAAATTTTAAGACTTAGTCATGTAAATATATTTATGGTACCTTTCTATAAAACCTAATATCTACTCTATTAAAATAGAGTCTTTATTTTTATGTACTGATACAAGTTATTATTTAAATTTGGACATTTTATAGAGTGTTACAAATAATACAAGCCATATAGTTGACTGAACCGCATTACTTAAATTACACAGACGGTTTTTTATGGGATAGAATATTGGACCCACTTTTATTTTTAAGAAAAATTATATGGTTTGATTTTTTGGATTTAATATTAAGGAAAAACTCCAAAAACACATTGAATAAACTTTCCACTATACTGTATCAAAAAATCAATTACTATTTTTCAGGCCCAAAGGTATTTAATATTTTAACAAAACAAAATTGTCTGTTATTAATAACTTATTTAAATCATGTACTTTAAAACATGTTAATGTAATTTTTTTATTATAAATAACAATTCCCTGTTTTGGTAAGTTTCAATGGTAATTTTTAAATTGTTTATTTTGTTTTTATTTTTCTTAAATAGTTTACTGTTTTAAAAAATAAATAAATGTAAAGCAAAACAAAAAACCAAATCTAAAAACTAAAATTCAAAACCAAAATCTGAAAATGCAGGTTATAATTTTTATTTTGTTTATTTACAAAATAAACTATTGCAATTTTTTTTTAAAAGTTTGTCATATTTTCAGTTTTAAATTCGATGTTCGAATATTTGAGATTTGTTTGTTGTTAATATCCATACAAACTAACTCAGCGGATCTAAAAACTAAAAACTCAAATCAAAAGCTGAAAATCAAAAATAGAAACTTAAAAACTAAAAACCAAAATTTAAAACCAAATCTAAAAATTCAAACAGAAACTAAAAAGCTAATGCAAAACAATCATCACCACAAATTTTGGATTACTGATTTTATACCAAAACATATTTTAAATAAAAACAAAACCCAATTATATAAATTTTTAATCATAAAAAAATTCCGCGCTTAGAAAGCGCGGGTCAAAATCTAGTATAAAACTCAAAGCACTGCAATCATGTATATACCTTAAACTAACGGTGTCAAGTCTCGAGCTACTTAGGTAAGCCGTCAGTGAAACTCAAGAGCAGGATCTATACAAGCTAGTGAAGAAGATGCTCTGAAACATCTTAACATGTTTAAACTAAAAAAAATAAAAAATTAAAACCAGCTTCTCAGGAATTGGAACTTGTCACAAGAACTCTGGGAAGCAAAAAACAAAAGAACTCAAAATAAACCAAAATTTAAATTTCTTAACCTGTTTAAATCAATTAAAATTAATTTAAAACCGAGATTTTTGAATATATATATATAAAATATTAAAGAAATCTTTAATTATGTGTAGTAAAGTGTATTTTACCATATCTTATAAAGCTTTATAAAATTAGGCTTCATGAATCATCGGTTTCTTTACCCCTCCCATAAGCTTCATCAGTGATGCCATCATTAGCGTTAACTCCATTCCTTTGGGTTCACGCTTTAAAAATACAGCTGAAATTCTCCCATTATGTAATATTATTAATACCCCACTACCTCTTGAAATTGTATTCCTATAAACATGTGTTTGAACCGAGTTCGGTCGTGTATCAGTTAAGAGAGTAACTGGACTCGTCGCTGGATTATTAGGAAGGTGAGAATGAGTAAACGTGAAAAGAAAAACCTTTATTTGTAGTCGGAGAAAGTGCAAAGAGTAAAACCGGTACTCGGAGAGCTTAATCGAAGATGTACAGACTAATCCGTAAGCAACAAAGAGACAAGAGAAAAATTCTAGTACAAGTTGCCGCCTAATCAGGCTATTTTTGGATCCCCTTCTCGTTGTGCCTCCTTCCCCTTTTATATCAGATCCTCTTTCTCTCTTTTTGACCTAGGGCGGTGCTCTTTCACGGGCTTTTTGCAATGGGCCTTTGCTCGGCCCGCAATGTGGGACTCATTAGTCGCCTCTCTCTCAGTCGTCGTCATCCGGACGATGAGTCTGCTCTTTTTCGACTAAAGTATCCTCACGCTGAGCCGATTTGTTAGTCGCTAGCCGGGCCACTGAGTTCTTTCCTAACGGGCCGAATATGCTTTTTCATGGCCTTGAGGGAGGGGTACAATCCACCTCCTACAGTAAGTCCCCAGTTCACTGGTGATTTGGTGCAGTGAATCAGAGTGGTTTTTGCCTGTTAGGTTTGTGAAATAGCATGTTTGGGACGCAGAAGGGAGCTTGTCGGTGTGCTTTACTCGGTAGACTGCAGGTGATGATATCGAATTATCTTTTCAACGAATCCGACGGCTTCTTGGTGGTCGAGCAACGTGAACTGCCGGGTTGCGCATTCGGTAAATAAACGATGAGAGGGGGGGTCGAGTTGTTTACTCAGTTATCACACTACTCGGTCTGCCGAGTTATTTACTTGGTGGAAGATCGCGAGGAGAAGAGTTGCATTGCTTACTCGGCAATCGAGTTACTCATCATGCCGAGTGATTTACTTGGCGGAAAGATCGTGAGGAGGAGAGTTGCGTTGCTTAATTGGCGATCGGGTTACTCATCATGCCAAGTGATTTACTCGGCAGAAAGATCGTGAGGAGGAGAGTTGCGTTGCTTACTTGGCAATCGGATCGTTCGACATGCCGAGTAACTTATTCGGCGACAGAAGTACGAGGAGAAGAGTTGTGTCGCATGATGATCGTTGTGAAGAGTCGTTAGGGGGAATTCGATTGATCGTTAAAGAATGGGCCTTCTTTCGCGAGACTCGGCCCATTAAAGGCGGAAGTCTAAGGGTCACGAGAAAAAGGTCGAACTAGGTCTTTATAGACCTAATAATGACGGTCCTGGGAATCGCACCCCTCCTCCCTCTATATATATGTTTCTCATTCTTCTCCTCTTCATTCTTCTCCGCAATATCAGGTATCCTTTCTCTCCCTTCTCTCTACTTTCTCTCTCTAGCTAGTTGTAAGATATATATTTACAGTCGGTAGCGATGTGTCCCCGAAAGAGATTAACGCGGGCAGCAAAAGGGAAAGAGATCGCCATAGCGTCGAATTCTGCTCGTGATGAGACGACTAGCGATCCATTAGACGAATTTAACCTAGAACACCGGGATGGGTTAAGGGATTCAGAAAGTCTCAATTTGGCACATAGGCTCTTGGTTGTTAATTCAGAGAGGCAGTTTAGAGGAGAAGACGATGGTAACACAGCTGCTGAATTACTCGGTGACCTGTGACCGAGACAAGCTACTAGGGTTCAGACTGTTAGACCAGCCGTGAGGGCTCGGGCTACTAGGCCGTCTGTTAGGGTTCAGGCTGAAGCGGCTCTTCCCCCAGCGCCTACTCGTTACTTGGGAGGCGGTGTTTTTGAGCGAGGTCCCGAGGTTCGTCAGAGTCTCCTTTGCCGTGCTTACGTTCAGTCGATTAAGAACGTGTGGTTAACATGGTCGACTTCTGACAGTGTCAATCGCCTGCTAAAGTGACTCGACGCAGTTGGTGTAACGTACCTGTTGGGGAAAAATATTCCATAAGAAGATTTACCCTGCTTCCGGCCTCCAGATACCGGGCCCTGCCCCAGGTACAGGGCCCTGCTCCAGGTACCGGGCCCTGCTCTAGATACCGGGTCCTACTTTTGGGCCGGTCAGATAATTCATCATGTCTCCAAGTAAAAAGAAAAATTTCATGATAAATGTGGACATTCACATTTATCATAATATGGTCGAATCTCCTTAAATCTAAGAGAAGAAAGAGGAGGTATTCCACACTACAAGAAATATCGGCTTTGTTAGCACACCGAAAACGCTACGAAAGGGTTTTAGTAGCGTTTTTAAAATAGGTCTGCCGCAGCTATGGTAGACCCCCCCCCCTTATTGTAGCGTTTTTCCGTGAGCTATAGTAAATAGATATGTAGTAGTGGTTTTTTACTAATACCGTAGAAATTTTTTATAGCGTTTTTTTTTGTCATGTTTTACCTTTCTATGGCGATTTTACATTGCAATGATATAATTTCTAATGACCACTAGGTTGCGCCATGGAAGTTTTGTTCATAACGTTTTTTTTTTGTCGAAATGTTCACGTGTAATAGCGTTGTTTTATGGCTCTTGAAAATATTACGTATTTTATTTATCGTGCTAGTATTGTAATTTTCATAGCTTTTTTGTTGTGCCATATAATTTCGTATATTGACACAATTTTTTAATTTGATTTTGTGCTATATATTTGTTTTTATTTGTATATTTAATTTCATATTTTAATATTTAAATGCATAATAGAATATATAACTACACAAAATTTATATAAATAAAATAACAAAATTAATTTAAAACATTATTTATTAATTAAGCTTCATAGATCC